ATTTGAAGTTGACTAAAACTGGAGCTGCAGCTTACCTTTCACATGCTCTGTCCCTTAAAAGTGGAACATAATATGTGGAACAATGCAGTGCTATTGTATCAAAGAATGAAGAACATCTGCATTTTAAAAGACAGTATCTCCCATCTTTGTAATTGCAGTTTACATATTTTCTTCCAAGAAAAAGTGCATGTGAATAGTCTTGCTTCTCTAAAGCAACTGTGTGTATCATCTTTCCTGGAGAAATCATGAAGAACACTATTTTCCATATTTTAGTGGCTTGCATGTAACCTTCTTGGCGACTGCAGAAAGTGAACAGACAGATCAAGCTCACATATAATTTGGCTTAATATTTTAATGTACCTTTTTTTCATCATTACTTCAAATACTTGCCCTCTTGCACCAACTATCACTAAGAATGTAAAACAACCATGCTTATTCAGACATCTAAAGCTCTCAGCATATTTCTTACCTATTTGTTCTAAGCTAGGTATTTCTTAGAAGAACTGAAAAGTCACCTAAACTCACTTTAGGAGAACATATATAAAACTACATTTTCTACGTGGCATGTAGATACAGCACAAACTAATGTAAGTCCACAGTTACGAAGAGTCTTACTCTACTGCCCAGTCCTTGGTGTTCTTTCCTTCCACACTGAAATGAGCAGAAACAGTAATTTTCACTGTTTCTTTTGCCCTGCTCAGTGCATGAGCACAGAGATGCAAGGGTGGGACAAAGCAGGCAGGACGCAGGACCAAGCCAGGAAGGAGGGCAAAGGGCTATTCATATCTGCAGCAATGCATGTATTGAATTATTTTAAATATGCACACAAAGACTTCAAATTTACTATTAGCATACAAATATTTAAAACATTTGTAAGCAGCTTCAAAGACCACTTCCAGCTGGCAGTTCAAAGATTGCATTCTACAGTACTGTGATAGCTGGTTTATTGCAGGGTATTTTCCTGCAATTTCACAGTAGACAAAAATATTTAAAGCTTAGTAACAGCACCGCAGAATAAATCCTTTTACAGCAAATAATGAACAGTACTGGATCTTTTAAAAAAGAAAAAAAGAGCAAACAGCTGCAAAAACAATTACAATAAATCCTTGTGGTTTTTTACATATTTTTAAGATTTATTACATTACCTCCTCCACCTTGCTTAAGTATATATAGCTATTTAAAGAGGGAAAACCTGCTTTGCTTGGGGGTGGTAGGTGGGTTAGGCACTGGGGTTTTTTGGTTTTGGTTCTTTTTGGAGAGGTATTTTGTTTTGGTGGGTTTTTTTCTTTCATATATTCACTGAATATAATTACTTTCCCTTTCATATAAATAAAAAATTGATTACAGTGAAATTAATGCAAAAACTACTGAAAATACCTTAATCCTATCCCATAATTACTAATAAATATTCACTATTTTATTTTCCTTTACACAATCTTCTGTTTGGTGCTTCTCTGGCTATGACACATAGGTGTAAGACTGAATTCTCACTGGTTTGATGAGAGGCTAACAATCTTAAAATCAACTGTTTCATACTTACGACAACATGAAGTGTATATGCTACAGAACAATTTCACAACATCAAAGAAACATATCCAACTCCAGTGACCCCACGCTACATCCTATGAATATTAGAACTTTTTTTGAACATTAATTCATTTCAGTTTTTCCGATATTCCTTGGCTGCCTGCACTCAAAAGTTTACTCAAAGTTTAAAAAAAATCTACAACATTAATTTAACTGGTATTTCCATCTTACCATTAAAAATAAGTTAGTTTGTGGTTTTCATGTATAATAACCTTTATTTTTGTGAATCTGCTGTAGATATAAAATTAAACCACATTTCTCCCATTGTTATTATGTTATTTTATTCCCCCTCCCCCATATTTTTCAGTTTACATACAGGACCCTTCACACTTATTTCTGTTCAAGGTTCTATGCAACTTTGTTTACTGAGAAATTAAAGGCAAGAACAGTATCTTTATTCTCACTGCACTTCTTTCAAGTCAAGCACTTAACGTCCTACATACAGTTAACATGTACATTTAAATTCTACAGCTATGCTTTACTCTACAGGAATTAAGATATAAAAGCACACTAGCAAAACTAGGATCAATAGAAGCTCTAGACAAACCATTTACCAAAACAAGTGGAAGAACCTTATCAACACGTGTATGCAGTAACACAGTTAAGTTCCTTTTGAATCTCCACCTCTTCTTATGAGCATTTTGTCCTCTATTCAAGGGACTACATAGAAATCAGTAAAATTTTACCCACATTTACACAGACTTTTTTTCTTTTAATGAGATTTGGGTATAAAATAATCATTATAGGAAAGCAGTTTTTTAAAATGGTTTTACCTATCAGTATACTATGCTTATTAAACTTTTCTGAATTGTTTCTTCAACTAGGAAAAATGGTTGCTGTTCTAAACTACTTTTCTGAAGAAACACATCTCTTACTGCTTTTGGATGTCAGGCTGAGGTCATTAATATGAACACCTCCAAATCTCAATTATATTAATTTTCATAATAGCTTAAGGAAGCTCAAGATGGAAAAGACCTATTAAATCTATCCCATTTAGACAAGCACATTGAGGGATTGTTTCCATGCATTTAAAATCATCAAAAATATTGTTCTCATGAAAATCTAATGTTCATTTTATCTATTCTACAACTTACATTTTAAACTTAGATAACAATTTTGATAAACTTCAGTGTTTCAGTGAAAACAAACCTGAAATGCCTACAGCTATGATCTTTAAAATATTTTATGGGAAAAACTCAGAACTATTAACAAGACAGATTTCTTCAAAACAGCAAAACACTAAATTGGTGAGACCACCTACTAAGATTATTTTACAGTATATCCCAAAAGGCAACAAAAAGCCAATCCAGTGAGAAAAGTTATACCTGAAATTAGCTATTCCAAGTTTTAAGTCAATTCTTCTATTGTTAAGTTCTCACATTTCACTGAATGGATTTTTTAAAAAGCAGGTGCTTTTGGGATAATACAGTCCAACATTTGCCACTAAACTAGCACTGAACAGCCAATAATCTACAGGAGCAATGTCCAACCTCTGTATTTTCCATAGATCACATTCACTCCCTCCTTACTATGCAAGACTCAGGGAAGTTTGGACAGATATTCCCCCATGGTAGAAGTGAGCTAACAGCCCAGGGAAAGCACCAAATCCCAAGATGGTTCTGCACCTTAGTGACAGCACAGTGCCCAAATTAATAGATTCAGGGCTACTGAGAAGGCAATTAGATGACATTTGAAATACGTGTCCTCTCAAGTCCCCCAGTCTTAGCCCCAAGCACAAGCTAGCAAGAGATGCTGGATTCAGACTCTGTAAAACCACCTATGGATAAACCACTTCAACTCCCAGGAATGGGACTGAGAATCTATTCACATTTGCAGTCCAATGTAAACTGACCCCATCAGTTGCTACCCAGCCTTCCCTGCCATTTTAATAGTTCAACAACAGTTTGACTTGTATTCACTGAGAAGGAAAAATTATGATCCAACTTGTTATACAAAAAATTATATATTAAGTATGCAAAAAAATTAGTTTCCACAACATGCTTACGTGAAATGAGCTTCATGCCATCAGAACACACCATTGATTTGCTTGACATCTCACCTCAACGCATATTCTCCCTTCAAATGGCCTAAGGGGTTTTGTTTTTCACTTGAGAATCTTCCTTCAGATTGGTTATTTCAGCATTTTTGACCCAAGTTATCTCAAGGCAGATTGCAACCATTTAACCATTAGTGTTTCATAAAAATCAATGACTTCGTATTTAGTGTCTTTCAAAAGAATTTTTAATTACAGATTATTCTATTTTTCAAGTTAAAAAAAATCTGAAATAAAAAGTGGAAAAGGGGAAAAAATGAGTTTGGTATGACTTTTGTATACAACCAACATGGCTAGGCAGCCCTAAGAAAGCTTTTATTAAGAGGAGAATTTAGCAGCCTGTCATCAGCTACAAAAGGAATTCTTCATTAAATCTTTAAAGTGTGCCCAAATTCAACATTTGAGTATTTATTTTTCAGGACTTAAAGGCTTGGTTCATGGATATTTAAAAAGAGATTAGATGATTTGCTGCAATAAGGACAGCAGACAAATCCGCTGTTACCATGCAGCAGAGCCATCCAAGTCATAGTTCTACAGGAAGAGTAGCTCACAACCGTGGAATGAAAATCACTACTATTAATTCAAATCTACAGTAACTTCCAAATATATACATACCTCTGCTTGCTAGCAAAAATGCTGTGCAACAAACATGCACTTAAAATAGCATGAGGCTGGCAAGGAAAGAACGAACCACTTTTTGCAGATTTGGGGTATGTTTAATGTATTTCTGAAACAGATACTACAAGGATGAGGGCATATACATCTAAACAAATATACAGGAGTTAAGCCAAAAGGCCTGAATGACACAGCCTTTTCCTTTGAAAAACTGAACAGACCTCTTGAATCTAGTTCAAGTTATATTTAAAACACGTTCCCTCTATGGCTTTACAGTTTAGAATTACCAGCTCACACCATTACTTTCTCAACCCCCCATAAAAGCCATGTACAAGGGCAGAAAATATGAGACAAAAGTAATCTAATATTTAGACACCAATGCATTTTCACCTGAATATAATACACCAAAGCAGAGAGCTTAAGTAATTGCTATATGCAAACACTAGTTTACACCTAGTGAAAAAACAGCAATTTTCCCAAATGTTGAGTTTTAGGAACAGTGTGCCAAGTAAAACCAGTTGCAGGGTTTTTTGGAAGAATGAGAGCTGCAACGTGATACATGTATCAAGTAGGGAAAAGAGTATTTCAGACTTTAAACCTAACTCATTATTGCATTCCAAACTATAAAGTGTGGCATGTATCTCAAGTCAAGCAAAAAAGGGCAACATTAAGGTCAGTCTAGAGGAAAATGCTTTAGTTTACAGTTACCGATGTCACAGGTGAGGACCTACACATGTGGTAAAAGCAGTATACTTCCAAAATGCCAGCTATGCCACAATTTTCCTGTTACCCATATGCTCACAATTCAATTCACCAAGACAATCACTGCTATATTAAGAAGTAACATATACATGCTCTCTGCTACTTGCATCCCGTGCTTTGAGCTACTTAAGTACCATTTCAATATAATTAGGGCACTATGTTATCTCAAAACAGTTTTAAATCAATTTAGTATCACAATTCATGCAGATAAATTTTAGCAATTTCTATTTCTGAAAACGTGAGTGAACTGATAAAAAACACTAATATTTTATATCTATTTTGTGCAGGAAAAAAGCAACAGTAATAAAAATACCCCTACTTTCTTGCCATTACAGGAATAGAACCAATAGGTCTTTTCCATCATCTTCCATGACTGACAAAATCTGAACCATAGTAAGCTTCACAATAGCTTTATCATCAGTTTTATCTTAAGACTCAATCAGCAAATCTAGCCTGAGTTGTGTTGGAAATGGGTATTTTTCAAATTAATCATTCTGTAAAACATTTATCAAGAATAGTCAAGTGCAATCCTTCTAAATGCTATTACTCTACTATAAGTGAACAATTATTTTAACTGGAAAACACTTATTTGCCTCTGAATTAACCAGTTAAACATTGATAACAGACTTGTTTCTTTTCAAACCAACCATTGGGGGAAATGTATACCTATAATGATGCATTACACAGTGAAAGGCTTTAAACCAGCTTGCACAAATGTCTCCTTCCTTGCAATGGCAAGATACTTTAACGATCAGTACAACACACAGAGGTCACAACAATTTTTCTTTCGTAGAAGTATGGTTTAGGTAAATTCATTCATACTGTTATGAATAAAGCATACATACATATTCCTTTTCCAAAGTCCTTTCCCTGCCCCCCAAGTTAAATTTTGCAATAATTTGAGTAATGGATATACTCTGTTGATAAGCTTATTGTGACTAAGTTTGCAAAGGGAGACGGAGATGCAAGGACACAGTATCCTTGAGAACACTCTGTAAAGAATTTGATGCTCTTCAAAAGTCAAAACAAAAGCAGTTGTGTTATAAATTGTTCACAGTATGTACTGCAACATGCAGTTCAGCTAAACAGATTCAATATTAAGAATGGAACTTTCTTGACACATAGTAGAAACTACGTAAGAATGAAAATGATGCCACTTGTAATTATAAGCATAAAATTCTTACCCAGTATTAGTAATAACATTCCCAAAATACTTTCAAATGATTTTTATATTTTATTGTAATCAGATAACTCCACGTTTTACAGCATAGTCACACATTGTATTTTGCTAGTCACAAACACATTGCCTTACATAATGATCCGCATCAATTCTGCTCTATACTACAAAGCCTATGACTGAATACAAAAAAAGTTTTACAAAAGAAACTGTTTTAAAGACTACAATAACAATAAAACCGTTTCCAGATAACAGCTAAAATTATAAAGGCATATCACTGTATAGTTTTACTGGAATTTCTAAACAGTAGGGAATGAAATAAGTTTTAGTATCTGCGACGCTTGTTAGGTCCTTCAAAGTTGCCCCCTGGGTTTCCTCTACCAAAGCCACCAGGTCCACCACTCACGGCACCTACACCACTCATTGGCGGCTGAGGAGTTTCAGAGCCCGTTCTACTAACCAGAGGTGAACCCATCTGTGATGGACCTCCTTGAGGGAATCTCTCATTATGCTAATACAAGTCCATTTGGAACACACCAAATGTGAGTTACAACAAAAACCACAAGTGATGTTGTCATGAAGTTCAGCAGATAGTCCAGCAGAATCAGGATCACACATAGAGGGAAGAAAGGAGCAATTAAATTAGTTACTATGGAAAAAGAGCTGGAAATTAAAGAGTGCTAATGTTACGCTCCAAATTTGTAAAGTAAATTAAAAATTAAAAACTTAAGTATTAAGACCAACTCTGGTGCTGGATGTAACTTCCATCCTTTCAAGCACATCTGAAGCAATACATATTCTCTACGTAACAGAAAAGACAGCAAACAGTTTTATACCTGAGCCCTGTTCTGCCTTACATACCAACTACAATGCTTCTCCCTTACATAAATTAGACACAGAAACATTGTCAAACTAGGAAAAAAACCTCATCAACTTTTGCATTTCTAGAGACTGCAGGTTTGTTCTTTTAATAGCAATATAACCTGAAGACTCATACACCCACATATCTGTGTATAAAGTGTCTTTCAGTCCATACTACCTGGAGTCAGCCTTTTGTATGGCATTTCAGGAATCTTTAGACAGACTTAAAATTCAGTCCAAATAAACTGACACAACGAGTGATAAAATGCATAACTGGACTATGTGTAGTTTTAAAAAAAACTGGATATATAGATCTAAAGTTTAACCTGAAATATCAATAAGGTGAAAATCCAGTTAATGTTTATTTTCCTTAGTTCTGTGCCCAATATTAATAAAGGTATACGTGCTTACACAGAATTATTTGGTTATAGCAATTAAGACCTAAAACAGCAAACATGCATCTGAGCACTTATAGTTCAATATTTATGCAAGTGTTTAAAAATAGAACCCCACATGATGAAATTTAAAACATTAACTCAACATAACAAAACCATTAAAAGCATAGATACATGGTACAATCGGATCTTGAAATAACTCATCAATCACCTGTTGAAGACAGTTACGCTTTCAGAGAAATCCCTTCTGTACATTAACTACCCAGCTATACAGAGTTCAACAAGAACATCCAAGAGTAACACTTTATTTATATGCCTGAATCAGAGAAGAATTCTTCTGAAAGTCAAACTTCAGTAACAGTAGTAAATCTTAACAGTTCTGAAGTCTGCTAATTCATATATATATTATTTAAAAACAGCGTTATACGCATATAGATAAAAATGTATGCAACTTAGATCATGGTTGTATGTATGTGCATTGTTTAAAATTTGACACTGAATAAGAAAAAAGTTACTTCAACAGCTGCATAAAGATCTACTACTGCCCCGAAGTACCTTAAAATCTGCAGCACTGGTTAAAAATTGTTAAAGAATTATCTTTAACTCATGCTAGCTCGTTAGCAATGGATATGTATTTCAACAAATAGCTTGTCACATACTCCTGATAATTTTTAACATTTAGCTTCTTGACAAGAAGTACTCTTTCCAACAATGACCCACCCATCTCTCCAGCTAACAAGAAATCTGCAGTCATTAACTACCTACAATAAAGTATGTGGGATAAAAGCTATTTTTAAAATGTTATGTTCAAAGATAATCTGTTTCAAAAGACTGCAGTGGAACAAAGAAGATTGCTCCAAATTTCCCTAAAATACTTCAGAAAAATATCCAATTTAAAAACCAAACACTGCATTTCTGGTCTATAAAGCATATTCTCCATTTCTCTCAGTGGAAACGGAAATTAATTCTTACTAATTCTTAGTAGACAGCCCTCAAAGGATGTCCAAAGTGTGTTTCCAACAGCAGCAAAAATACAATAAGGCTAGGCCTTTCGGTAAGGGCCTGTGCCCCAAACTAAAAACATTCAAACTCCAAAAGAAAAAAAAAAAAAGCATCTAATTTGTCCTTCAATAGCATGCAGAAGAAAATGAAAGTAAAAAAAAATTTTTTAAACATGCATTTTGAAGTGTCAGTATATTCCCTACATTTCCATACCTGGAATGACTTCTTGTAGAAAAACAACAGTTTGAAATAGATACCGTGATTTACAATACCATGTCCTTTTCCTTACACCTCTTTTCCAGTGTCCATGCAATCACAAGACAATGTTCCAGAGTGACCAGTAACACACTGGTCTCCAGCAAAAGCATCTCTGAAAACAGTAGTTTGTGAAAAGCATCCCTACACTTTGAGAGAAATGATACAACTGATAAAATGAGATGGCTCCTATGGTGTGAAGTGAAATCCTCTCCTTTAACTGGTAAAGGCCAGACTCATTATTTATTTTGTGCTCAATCAAAATCTCATTTTCCTCTAAGGAACAAAGGATTTTGCCCAAACTTCATTATAAAGATTGCATAATTGCAGATGGATAGTGTTGAGAAGGCATATATAAAAAAATACAGCTACAAAATGCTTCTGTGTTCCAATAAAACTACAATGGAATCATTGTTTATACTATATATTCCTTTATATCACACTACCACTAGAACATCCCAAATATCTATTCACAAAATACTGAAAAATATGTAAAAATCAGATTAAAAATTATATAGTTGTTTCTCTACATAAGACATTACAGCTAGGAAAAGCAACTAGCTATGAGAACAGAGCAAAAACGGCTAGTGCTTTAACTGCATCCCAATGGCATATCTACTCTTGATAAAAAATTCCAGATGTACAGATGTTCTCTACCATCCTCAGCAACTGGGCAATATTATTTTCCCTTTGTTGATACGACAGTTATCCTTAACAGCTGTTGGCATACTTATTTTCTAAGTGGCATAATTACTGTCATAATCTCATGCTTTCAACACTGTTAGAAAGGAAATACAAAAACCGCTAATCGCTTTAAAAATCAAATTGTTTACACAAAGATATCTTCACACTGCATAGCTACCAACATATAACTGCTCATCAAAAACCCCAACAAGATAATGCATAGAATTTAGTTTCACAAAAGAAAAAACAGCAAATGCCTAAATTTACAGATTACTCTGATATGTTGTTCCTTCATTTCACAGAAGTGATTTCCTTCTATCAGTAAGTTTTTAATGACAGGTCATACATGCAAAGTTTTGCTACAAATGCTGTGTATTCTAACCTCAATTTGAAGTCTGGTTACTGATCAAAGAACTCACCCCATTCTTAAGAGAAGTAGGATTTTCGTAGTAATATTAAATATTTTTCCTTTTGTGTTGTAGATTATTTGCATGAACAAGTTTTATCAATTACTTTTAACACATGCAAAACACGTAACATGTTCTTCCTCTGTGTGAAAATATCTTTGGTAACAAAAATGGGCCATGAGACATGACAGCTATTCAAAGTAATTAAATTTGTGATACGTTACCACTGTTCCATTATCTGGCATCATTGGTGTTCCCATATTTGCAGCTCCTTCTGGTCCCATGGAAGGACCAGGACCCATTGCAGGGCCAGGTAAAGTTCCTCTGTTGTTCATATTCATACCCATCATTGGAGGAGGGCCTTGGTTACCAGCAGGTGCTGGGCTAAACGCATCTATGCAAAACAATCTATACTTAGAGCTGTCCTATCTGAATTTTACAAGAATAAACAAACAATTTACAATATTTAAAAATCCAAATGTACAAGACTTCCAACATTTGAAATAAAAAAATATTCTTTGAGACTGTACATTTATCTCAGTCATCTGCTTTTAAACAGATTTGCATTAATCCCTATTATTTTGCACTACATAATCTGTCTCGTGTATTTGAAAATCCTCAACTTCACAGCTAAATATAGCTGTACAGTTTCTGTGCAGGAACTGAAGTGTTCATATAGCATATATATGCAGTATACACCACAAATTAGCAAAAATCTCAAGTGATTTTGCAGTAATTAGCAGCTATAAGGCAACTTGGTTCTTTAGGGATTATAACATATTAAATATAGATTTTCAAGACTTGTTCTACCAGTATTATGTTAACTGTATATAGTGTTACAGTATTTAGTCTAACATCTAAAAGCAACACCAAAAATGGTACTCAACTTTACCATAAGTTATTTGTAATATGGCATAAACAAATCTTGCATTTAAATGTAATGTTATAGTAAAAGTACCAGAAAACTAAGTTTTGTTAGAACTGAATGTGACAGAACACTCTCCTCCAAAATTCTGATTCACAGTAAGAGGTAGGAGAAAAGCTTAAAGATATCTTTTGAGAACATTTAGCTGTAATATTGAGCTAGGAAACACCACTCTACCAGTACCCACTAACATACTCAACAGGTAGGTAAAACTGCTTCCGTAACATTTTATCATGTTGTTATAAGAAAGAAAAAAAGTGTGATGATTATATAAAATTTACATCTGCTATTGTGAAATATCAACAACTTTAAGACTGGTGGTGATACATCCCCCCCACCCCAAGATAATCCACCCTTTTCAGCCAAAAGCATGCATCCAGAATTTGATAACGGAAGACAACATGTCTTTGGAATCTAGCCTATGTTTTAAGTCGTGACAACATACAAGAGTATCAAGAAATCTGACGTATTGCTAGACTAATAAACTTGTTATTTCAAAAATCAACCTCTCACCTCTCAACACAACTGTAACTTCTTTAGTAATGGTACATCATTGTAAGTAGGCCATTTAGCACAGATATGGTACTGTGGCTACCCGCAGGTATGCAAACCTGCATCTTTATTACCTGCCCTGAGTACATGTATCACAGCAGTCAGTGAAACCACTGCATCCAAGATATCGCTGTTAAAATTGCAGACCTGGGCTAGATCATATACATTACGCCAACTGCAAGCTGCTTAGCAAAAACAACCCATGCAACACAGTAGCACATGTAAAGTGCTACACAAGTTTATTAAAAGCCATAGAGAAAAATCCTGTAATTTTGAAAAGAACTCATTTGAGCTTAGTAGTGAGAAACTCCCAAGACTCCCTATGACACTGAGCCAAAAAAAAGGTATGCACAAGTCAGATGCTTCTTACCTACCCCACAAGCATGATCAGTTCACGTAACAGGTAGAAGATCGTGCTGTAACTCAAGGGAATTACAGTTGAATATGCCCTAAAACTTTTTTTTTTTAGCATCATCCATTCAGTGACTAAATACGGAAGGAAACAGAAGTTTAAACTGCCAATATAAGCAGAAACCTTTCTTTTCAAAGGCTGTAAGTACTCTGCAGGACTATAACGATAGCAGTGCTTAGTGCTGGTAGCAGTGCCATTAACTAAGAGCAGTCAATGCTCAATTACCTGTTACTGGCTTGCTTACCAGCCTAACTGAACTGAGCCAGCTGGGCATACTCAGGTAGCTTGTCCTTCAACTGCACTGAAGTTCTTACCCTCTGCATCATACAAATGCCGTTATCACCCAAATATCATCCACATTGCTTCCAGGATGACATATAGTGACCAGTACTATCAAACCTCCATATTATTAAGCCAACTTCAGGCAGAGTCAGCTCTGATAGAAGGACAACTGGAGAGTGTAATGCAAGGAGAGAGTGGGGCCCTGCACAGTTTCAGCAAGAGGCCACTATGGCATTTTAGCCATACCTCAGAGGTCCTCCTAGCTCCAGAGCAGACCCTAAGAGCTAACCATTTTATTGCCCATTATTTTTGGAGGGACACTGATGGTAGCAGTTCATTCACTGGACCAGGTTCAGCAACAGATGGAAAGCAGTCGTCAGTGGTTCATGCCACAATGCACAGACACTAAAAACATGTCTTTTTCTGCGATCTGGAGAGCTGAAAAAGTACACTCTAAGTGTCCAAACTGTGCGTGCCAAGATCTGGCACAGCTGGCAACAAGCCACAGTCAATAATCCTCATCAATGCAGAGCTAGCTCCCAAAAAACCCTTTTTATTCTTATACTGAGAAGTTTATCAGCTGCACCTAGCATTACAGATCCAGTTAAGTGCTATGGTGAGGCATAAAGATTCTCTCAGAACTTGTTTGCCACAGAAAACAATATAAAAATGAATGGTTCTGCACAAGTCAGCCCAACACTAATTAAATCTGTCACAGAGGTACCCTGCTTTCTAATAACGCTATCACGTAGGTATTTCCATTACTGAAGATACTCCAGCTCCCCACTGTCCCACATGATGAAAAGTTGCAAATGGCACAGGTAAAGCCAGTTAAAAATAAAGCTACAGTTCCAACAGAAATGTCATGGAAGGACGCGAAGATCAACAATTAAATGTCTACTACTTAACGATAGCTATTTAACTACTGCAGGTTTCCAGGGTCAAGTTTTTTTGGTTGCAGTGGTGGGATTGTTAATGGGCTGGAGGAGAAGAAAAAAAAAAAAAAAAAAAAAAAAAAAAAAAAGCAAAACCACAAAACCACTCTGTTGATGAGCTAACCTAAAATCCAGATACTGTGGAAACAAACACTATTGTTACCTATTCACTATGGTTATTTTTCCCTTTTTAAAGTACTAGTTCACTGTTATTGTAACTTCTTTTGGAATTACACATTTATTTCTTAAAGCATTTGTATTAAGTTTAAAATCAGAAGTTATAGCACAAAGATTGCAAAGCAAGACTATGATGATCATCATTGAGCATTAAAACCTGACAAGGAAAGGGCTGTGAATTGATTGCTATAAATACACATTTAAAATCTGTATGTAAAAAGTGTATCTTGTGGATCTAGACAACAGGCATTAGTAGTTTCCATGGTATTAACACTTGAAAGTCTCCTAATTAAATGAAATTTTCAAGTAGACTGCAATAATATGCAAAAATACAACTATAAAATAACACAAAATTTAGTCACAACTTAAGCTTCAGCTCATTACTTGTAAATGACTTTACAATGTCTTCCTTCAAATTATTTTTAAATCTGTTAATCTTCACTGAAAAAGCCTATTTTTGTTTTGTACCTATAAATGTGTCTTAATAAATGCAAGGAAATGGTGAATAACATATTTTAAAATCTGGACCAAGCAGATTCATTAGTCTACAAATTCACATCCCTGAAAAGGTCAAGCGACAATGTTTACTAGATTTTGTATGTACTTTCAAATTTTAAATATGCAAAAATAGTACTAACTTTTAAAATTACCATCTTAATTTATTTTAAATTAACATCAGGAAGGTTCCAAGAGAGATATAATGACAATTAATATAGTTTAGTAAGATTTTTTTTTTTAAAGAAATATGCTAAGTTTCAGTCTTGTTTAAAAGCAGATATTCTGGTTAAGTAAGATTTCAAACTTTCAGTCTGCATATATAGAACGAGCACTATTTATTAAGAATGTACTTTTCTAGACTTCACAGCAACAGCTTTTAGCAGCGACAATATTTTAAGTCACAAAAGTGAACTGAGAATATTTGCAAATACAGACTTGCAATAAATTAGTAGACAACCAACCACACTATTCATTAATCTTTTGTCAGGTACATCAACAAGAACTTAATTTTAAGCTCTACATCATGTCACTGCATGCAATTATAGTTCCAACCTCTCTGAATAGGCACTCCCTCAAAAAGAATGCCAAATAATTTCTGAACAAAAATTCCTCTTCTGTATCAGATAATTTCTATAGCATCACCTCTCCCTGCCTTTTTGTTTCTCTTAACTTGCACATCATATTTTTCTCCCACAGGCAGTCCAAACAGTAAAATAAAGATACACACTGGGGAAAAAACCAGCTGTTTAGAAGCAAAATATGTGAGGTTTTTTATTTCCTAATACTGTTTACTTCTTTTTATCAGTAGTTGTCACTAATTAATAGTGCTTGAGTAACATGTACAGTCCCAAAGAAAAAGAAATTTTATATCACAGAAGCCTTTTTCCTTCAGATCCCTACCTCCCATGTTTATTGCTCCACGAGGACCCATATCACCCATTCTCATTTCCTGTTCTCTCTGAAAGTAAACATAGTTTTCACGGTCAACCTATTATTCTTAGAACTTAAAACATTCCCATTTACTCCATGAAAATAAAAATTTTCAAGTTTCAAAAGTTTTCATTGATTACAAAAATGTACAAGGAATAAAGTTAACTACACTCCCCTGTTTTTATAAAATCAAATTGAGTAAGTTCAATATAGCAATGCTGTACATTTTTGCATAAGACTAAAGGTTACTTTATCAGATGCAGCAGTCTAAAGTTCCCAAAGAGTTATGTGATCAACTACAAATGAATCCATCTTCACTCGGTGTTCTTCATTAATAAGAAGCAGCAGATTTACATTTTAACTGTAAAGAAAGAGGTCTTATTACAGTATTGCCTAAAGGCCGTGGTTCAGTAATACAGTTAATCTGACTTCACGACTCAAAAATGCTTGTGTTAATGGGAAACCAAGCTCTGATGTGTTACATTATGGTATATAAACTCAATCTGCCAGTTCATCTTTGCTCAAATAGTTTTGACTTGTCTTAGTGGTGGTACATTTTTTGATAAATTGTATCACATGCTATTGCTGTGTCAGTTCAGATACCAATCATCCTTTTGAACCAGCGTAAAACTGTAGTATCGACACAAACTATAACATGCATTTATACTAAACAGACAAATAACACATCAAATTGATCCAGATTCAGTTGATTCTCAGTCATCCAACAGCAAGAGTTCTGACATTACCGATCACGAACCACGGCCTGCTGTGAAACAATACTCAAGAGATAGTACCCAGAGTGTCAAAAATCATCATTTAAGGGAAAACACAGTACACCTATCACAGATAATTGCAAGGGATTTTAGTATTACTGTTTACATCAAAAGGATGAAATAGAAACAAATTCACAGTTCAAAATGAAAACTAATGAAACTTACACCAAAAATGTTTTTCTCGTGAATTTTCTGCAAGAATGTTAACATATATTCCACTCTTGAGTGAACACACATATGCTGAGAATAAGCATATGCAGAAAAATTTACCTGATTCTGAAAATCATTCCACTTGTGCTTTAAGAGTGCAAGTTCAGATGCACTTTGAAAACAATTCCATATACTAGGCAACTTGCTAAAAGCAACCATTAAATTGAAAAATTAATCAAATCAAAATACATTCTTACTATTTTTACGGTTTCAGAAAACTCCTTTTCGTTCAGTCATGTTTGGAATGCCAAACATGAGTCTTCCATCTTCACACACTTAAAGCAGCAGACACTAATATTTGACAGAACAGTCTCAATAGTTTTTAAAAAATATCCTGGTATGGGATATTATCATAAGGTACATGACAAGTCTCTCAGGTCAGTAACTGTTTCTGGTAACTCATATTAACCTGGAAAATGAACTTAACATAAGAAGATTATACACTATTTTTGAAAGAATATGGCTTAGTGTGGAGAGAAAAAGTCAGGTCTCATCTAAGACAGTTTTAAGGTCCAGCTATAAAAGGCCACTGATGAACACTAAGGACCTCTTCTGACCCTAGAACCCACATTAAACCTTCATCACAGTACATGCAACTATTCTGTCAGACATTTCACAGTAATGTCAGCTGACATTTTAAGTGAAATCAGCAGCCCTATGAGGATCAATCATACCCAAAACTGATACCAATGAGCTAGTCACAAATCAGCATACGACCTTGTTGATACTAGTCTGCTTTTACACCTCGGCCCCAGCATGAAGAAGTTGAAAGAAAAGTGGTGTATCATCCCTAATGTCAATCCCTAACCCAACATGGTAGCAAAACACCGTGGCTATCAGTTTACATCAGCCAGACTGTGCATGCACACATGCTTGCACATATGTGTGTGAAAACAGGACATGTCACAAACACCTGAGATATACTCTTTAGCTACAAGGCAAAGTACGAGACTTTGAATTGCTGCACATACTTACTTGATGCATCTCAGGTTAAACTGCAAGCTGGTGGTTTGTTTTTTTTTTTCATGTGAAATGTGCCATGTAAGGCAGGGCTGAGTATAATACCAGCTAGATAAGGATGTTAAGTACAAAGCTGTAAAGCTGCAGTAGCTACTAGAACTTAACTTATATTCTTTCCTACGTATAGATGCATTGGCAAGCTATAACATACACTTTTTTTTTTAAAGCACACTACACTTCCTCCTAGCAATAAACCACTGTTTTTTTTCTCAGCTTGAAACGCTACCAGTTTTCAGTTAAGAAGTTGTACAACAAAAGAGAGGGGTAGAACCTGTAATTTAAAAATTTTTTAGTCTAGTCTAATCTTTGTAACAAAACCCATTACTTGCCATTTTGTATCTTTAACTTTGGTATTGAATTAATATCACACAAAAAACATTTCAGCTATAAACTCAAGATGCATAAGCATGCTTTATGATCTCTGCTGCTTGTTAGTCTATCAACACACCTACAAGAATTATTATTCCTACTGTTGCATGTTCACAACTTATCAAGTTCTTTCGAATTTTCAGCACAGGGAAATTCTTCTATATAGTTAACATGGAATTAGCAGATTTAAGGTAATTTCCCTGTCAGAGAAAATACTCAATTTCAAAAGTTAACTGACAGTATCTATCATTAATGTAATTAAATGCTTGACATATTAACTATAAAAATATGTACTTAGATAATTTGCCAAAACCTGTATTTGCAGGAGTCCAGATGATAAAAATCCAGTCCTATCCCACACAAATCATGTCCTAGACAACTATGTGAGCATAAACAAGTTATTGCAAGTAAGTTAGGTCAGCTATTCCATGGATTTTGACCAAAATACAACAGAGAAAGGAATAACAACAGCCAGTTAAGACAGAGTAGCCAAACCAGTGCTGGCTGATATTCCAGCCCACCTGAGAGCTTCATTCTTGGATACTAAAGTACTTTGCAGAACATAACAATGATAGCGATATCTTCTCAGAGCTTCTTTTCCTCACTATGCAACTGCCCATTCTTCTGTTGAGTAGCAGCCTGCTTCAGCCCCTTCCCTGAAGCCACCCATAACTACCCTTAACAGGGAGTTAAAATTGAGCAGCGAGAGAAGAGGGCTAAACTTTTACTAGAGAAATATGTAGGGAGACGATTAAGAACCTCTGAAGTCACCCGGTACCTGGGAAAACAACTTGAACTGGAAGAGAACAATAGAAATGGATAATATACAGTTATAGGGGGGAAAGAAACCATAAGACAAAGAATGTGTAGTAAGAAGCAATTTGAGCTTTGTGAAGATTAGAAAAAAAAAAACAAACAAACCCAAAACCAAAAAACAAAGGAAAGCAAACAAAGAACAATATCCTATTGTAAAAGGATAATGCTTTACACAACGCAAAAGAAGCTTTCCAAATTACTTCCATTGCAGGATTCTTGTAAAATACTTCAGAACTCACTAATGCAAACAAACCACCAAAAGGTCTGATTCATCTGAGTAATTTGATTTTACAAAAACTGCTATGATGGCAACTATAGCATTATACTTGCTAATTAATTTAGATACAAGCATTAAAAAATGAGATTTCCTCACAACTCCAACTCCTTTAAATGTCAACTGTAAAAAGTAGATCTACACAAAAATATTGATTACACCTAGTTTTTCAAATGACTTATATATTGTACATCTTAATATAGTATGGATTCTCTCCTTCTTACAAGTATTAGAAACAAGATTTCTTGAGCATGAAGTATATCATGCACAATGTTCTTAGATATCAATCATCACTGATACCAGTAGTCTAAGTACACAGAGAATTGCCAAATGATTCTTCTGCTTTTCAAAATGTTTATTTTTAAATTCACTCTATAAAACCATGAAACTAACTGTTTTGAAAAGACACCCAAGAATTGATACAGGAGAATGTATCAGGTGCAATTCCCTTCTCACACTGAAAGTAAAAATACAAGTAATTATAAAAGCAGTGGGTTTTTTACTACTTTTTTCCCCAGAAACAGGCCTTACAATTGCAACAGCCCCAAGAAAATTAAAAATCTTGTCTCCAAATGATGCAATATTCATGCTAACAAAACTGTCCAAGAAATGGAATAAACATGGCATGAACTATTTCAGAAAAAGCAAAAAGCAACAGAAATATTAAGATGACAGATCATACAGTTTTCTTCAAGTGTTTGTGGCTAGGAGATGCTTCCCAATTAATACAAGATTATTCACACGCCTTTCAGCTAAGGAATGGTGATCAAAATAATGCTAAGACACAGCATCAAAAAAATGTGTTATCAAAACAACACCACTTAGCCCATAAACTTAAAACTTGCACATTAAAATCAGTAACTTAATTAGCACTTTATCTAGGTTGTGTGTAGAGCAAAATGTAATTCACAGTGCTGTTGTTTCTCACCTATTTTCATTAACATGGAAACTGAGTTCTATTCTCTAGCAGAACTTTATTTGTCAAAATAGGTCATTTCTGTACCTCTTACTAGAATTCATTACTCCCTTCTAGGATGGTTTATTTCATTAAATTCTTTCTAGAAAAGAAAAATTATTTCCAAAGGCCTCTCCAGGAGGCATGAGTCCCTTAAATCTTACACAAAATTGCAATCTACTGAAAGATGCCTGTATTTTAAGAGCATAAATCATACAAGTGGTTAAAATGGATAGCTTGGCAGTCAAAACTAGAATTTGGGGGATACTTCTGATTGTGCATTATGTGTTTTTTTTCCTCAGAATATTCTACTATTTCAATCCAATGACTAGCCCACTGAAAGTTAAGCTGCCAGCAAGGAGTTAAGGTAATAAAACCTTCTCTTCCACCCACTCCTCATCACCTTTCCCTCTTCGGTTTATCCATCAATTAAGATCTGTATGTGTAAGAACTGAAAATTACAATATCCCAAAATAGATCATTTTACTCCATCACATGCAGCAATAGTAAATAATTTTAAATGAAAATCACTGATCTACTTTCAAAATCCAAGATTTCTGTGTGTTCCTGTGCACTGCAGCCTAAATCCAGAGCTAATCCCTCCTCTGAGC